ACACGGAGTAAACGTATGCAGAATATTCGGGGTGTCGTAACTGGATTCCATTGCTAACGCATGTACTAAAAAAAACTGCCCGCGGACAATATTTTTGTCTGAAACAATTACCTTCAATGGTTGTTTTCTTGCGAATGATATCAGTTCAGGCACAATAATTTCACGGGGTATTTGGTACCAGTCCTATTTCTTTACTTAGCAAGGATTTTCTCGTTAAATCGGTAGGTACGGATCCGGGTGATTGCAAATGTTCCCACGTGCCATTAAACATTGTTGGGCAATGTTATTTACCGAACATTAGTGTGAACGAACCTTAATTGTTGTTCAATTCGGGTAACGATAATTGACCAACTATTTGGGAAGAATTTGTCCCACAAGTGTCGGCAGTTGGTAATTAACCAACATTCAATTCAATTCAATTCGATTCTTCCCATTTCACCTTTCATAAAATACTATTATATATTATAGTATACTGTCATTTTCATAAAATACAAGTATAAATATAGATTATTTAACACTCGGTGTGTAACAAGTGGATATTAAGAAGTTACTTGAAACACGAGGTGAAAATCGAGGCATGTCCCGGTAAGCGGTTGCTTGAGCTGGGCATGCCATACAAGACCAAAACAGAGGGACGGACAGCAAGACAAAATATTCGGACAAACAAAAACATTCGGACAAACAATCATTGGGCAACAGACCTATGCGTATAGCTGCCATCTTAGAGGGTATATTTTGTTATTTTAAAGGGAAAATACAACATTTGCAAACATCAAAATATGTAATTACCAAATCATTTTGAAATACCTTGCTGGACGTTAGTGAATGACAGTGTAAAGCATCCTGTAAAATCATGGCACCTGGTATACTGTCATTTTCAAGAAAAGTGGTATTGTTGTATCAATTTCCAACGCTGGTCGGCCGACCAGCGTTGGAAAAAACTGGCTTTTTTTTTTCAAATACTAGCCCCAGTTGACCATCGCACTTGTTTGCAATCGATTACACACCTATGAACGGGTACAAGCCAGCTGGACTGGTTCCCTGACCTTACAATTCCCCAATGTATGTAAACTGCTCTGTTTCTTCTTATATGGAGTCAGGGAACCAGACTACAGGAAAATGATTGTTTTTCTTGGTTTTTATAGCATTTTCGAACCCAAAACCTCAAAAAGGTCAGTGTAACTATATTTGCTATATATTTCCAACCCCCCAATTCCATCCATTTCTGAAAATTACAGCAAAAGCAAATGATGTATATTCCCTTTAATTCAGTAACAATGAATGCACGAAAGGTTCACTCATGCATGTCCCAGCAAAACAAAGGCATTGCCTACTAAGATGGCTGCTACGCATACGGTCAATATACAAACCCATTTGCCCAAGTTTTGAATTTTGAATGTTCTCACAACGTTTCGGTCAATATGCTTTGACCGGCATCACATTAAAGGGAATGTACATCATTTGCTTATACTTTAATTTTCAGAAATGAACTATTTGAGGGGTTAGTATAATAGATCAAATTATTGTTACACTGACATGTTTGAAGTTTTGTTTTCGAAAATGCTGGAAAAACCAAGAAAAACAAACATTTTCAAGTAGTCTGGTTCCTTGACTCCACTGAAGATGAAATGGATCAATTTACTGATGCCGGAAAATTGTACGCTAAGGGAACCAGTCTAGCTGACCTGCACCCATTCATGAACATAAAACCAATTAGCAAACAAAATTGGACTGAAAAAATGGTAAATTTGGAGCAGTAGTAAAAAATAGTTAGGTTTTTCCTACGCGTTGGAAATGTAAACAAAAATACAATTTTCTTGAAAATGACTTCACACCAGGTGCCATAATTTTACAGGATGCTTTAGACTGTCATTTACCAACATCCTGTAAGGTATTTCGTAAAAACTTGGTCATTTTATTTTTCGATGTATGCAAATGTTGTATTTTCCCTTTAAAGAGCAAATGAATTTGTAGCAGAAGGTTTTCTTTGCCTCGAGTTAGAGTGACATGAGACCAGTTTGTTTTCGATTCCTTCGTGGTTTGTTGGACTCCAGGTTTGCTACATCGGTAGCGCAGGGGGCAACACCCGAGCAAAAACACGCTACAAAACAAATCTTTGTTTGGCTCCGCTTCTTTTTATTTTGGAGCGATTCAAAGTGATGCAAAACACTATAGGATGTTAACTTTGCAAAAGGGGGAATAGCTGAGCGGAGACGGAGGATTAAGCCAATATGGGTTACAAATCGGATCTGGCCCGAGTGAGTCCGAACAAGAGCCCCGTGACGGACCACTTCCGATCGGCCATTGTCCGGCCGTAATGCGGTGCCTCTTAAGCGGAATGATTTGGTTTGGAGGAGAGGGGCCAAAAGAATGAATAGTAGCCCCACTGATACGGGATATCACAGAGACTTGGTCGATAAAATCTAATCTGGGAGAGTTGTTTGTCAGGCTGGTCGCTTTGTTGACTTGTTTATCTGTTGGCTTTGGGAGCTGTCTTCTCGGCTGTTTGTTTGGTTAGAAGTTTCTTTTCATTCTATGGCCTGACTGTATCCAGTCGGTGACTCGATTTACCTGGTATTCAGACCTTGATTCCGTCTTATTGCATTCCGGTCAGTTTCTATCACTCAAAAAAAATTACTGACTAACACTTACAAGACTGTTCTCAGTTGAAGGCGTTGTTTATACTCAGTGACTGTCAGTCAGTCAGTCGGTGACTCGGTCGGAGGACAGAAGGTTGGCCCTTCGAGTCCAGCAATGACGTAAAGTACATTTTTAAAATCCGGAAGACGGTGCCTCGAAATTCTTTTTGATATGATCCGATCGCATGACGTCAATGCACCACGTGACTATGGGCGTCGCCAGGATTTTTTCTAGAGGGGGGCAAAACATATTTTTCCCAAAAAAATCTTGTATTTCTCAACAAATTCTCGATTTATCAGTTTTAGAGGGGGGCAGGGACATTTTGCCCCCACCCCCAACTCATTCAATTTACACCACTATGACTTCGCACCTCTTTTTCTTTTTCTTTTCTTTTTCTTTTCTTTTTGCTTTTCCGGGGGAGGGGGGGGGGCTTCCCCCCCCTTGCCCCCGCCTCGCGACGCCCATGCACGTGACCATCCGTTCCCCGTGATCGGCCACCATTGCATTAGGCAAGTGTTTGGTTAGCAAGCACGTCGTGCGTTGTAAACTAGAGCTTATTAATAGTAAAATAATGTCCATTTAAAAAAAAATTAACAAATTGCATAATGGTCATTACCTGTCCATGTACAGTTGTCATAATCGTGTCTAGCACTGGGTGTTGGCTCCGCGTTTTTCGCACAATTTTTGCCATCCATCACAGCTTTGAAAGCTTGCCTACTGCCTTCTGTGATGGCACTATACGATCTGTGCCTACTACAATGGCGACGCTGACTTCCCTGTACCCGGATTTCGGCCGGGTCACGTGGGTCAAAGAGCGCCTTTTATAGCTGAAACGGTCCTGATAAAACAGTTGTGCGATTTGTGAGGTAAAATATTCGTTCATGTCTGTATTCAAAGAATACTTCACGAGGTGTTCCGGCAGGTTTGATATCAAAGGTGCATGCAAGAAAAAAAGATGACTGAACCAGCTGGAACAATTTTCCCGGCAAATTTTACCCCCAAAAGAGAGAGAAAAAAACCCAGAAAAACAAAGATACATGTAAACTGTTTTACAATCAGTTTCAGTGTTTCGGATTAGAGTTAGTCCAGAAAACTGGGGTCCAAAAGTATGACATTTTCGTGTCCCTGTTACACCTTACTTGTGTAATTTTCCACACAAGTATCATTAAAATTGACTTCAGAGTTTGAATCATTTTATTTGTTTTGCGGGTACTTTGCTTTACCTAATCACTCTTGGAGATAGAAGGTTGAGATAAAGAATGTGTCCCGAATTTATAAAATCCTATATCAGATGTAAAAGGGACACGACAAAAAATTGGACCCCATATTTATGGTGTGACCCATTTTTTAAAAAGAAGTCAGTCACTAAGATTTGTCAAAATGCGCAACCGAGCACATTGCTCGACAATCATTGGCTGTACACCGACTGCTATAGTGGAAGACAATTAAGTAAAAAGGCACTCCGGCGTACTGAATGCTCGCTGATTGGCCTTTCACTCACACCACTCTCACCCAAAGTAACCGATCTCCTGGCAGGTGAATACTCCGCTAACTAAGCAATGAAAACAGTTACTTTGCTTAGAGACAGGCCGACTTTTCACGGCCTTTGTCCGACTGTTTATACTCCGTCATTCCCGGCTGTGGTTTAAGAGTCACAAAAAAGGAAGCAGTTTTCTCTTACTCTTAGGAGCATGTTTGTCTTGTTTGGGAAATCCGTTTGGAGTGATAGGGATAAGTCTTTTTGAGATGGAGCGAGACAATAGACTAACATTACCCTACTCCAGTTTTAGTAATCATACCCTAGTCGTCAGCTAGCTCATAACCCATTATTTGCGTTGTACGCGTGTAGGACGCGAGAATCTACGCACCATCACCCATCAGTTGGAGTACAGTCCCAAACTCGAAGCGGAGAACTTCTGGCAACACGTCCTTTTCTCGAATGGAAATTGCATGTAAAATCCCACTTTGATAAGATCAGAATCGTGTATCCGTGAAAAGAGGGGTTAAACCGCTTTCACATAAAATAAACACACAGACTGGAACTTGTTTCGTTGCAGTGCAAAATTATTCCCGGACTCTGAAATTTGTTCCTGCGATCAACATTGTTCCCAAGTGACTCTAGCAAGTGCAAATTGTCAAGGAAAGCTTTTTGACATGCTCATTGCTTCAAAATGCGCATCGCTTTTGATATCGGATTTCGTGCGAACCTTCCTTCTACTTCTACTTCTACGTCGATAATTGAAAGTGCGTCCAATGTGTGGACCAGTGTAGACTTAACACGATTTCCATGACGGTACAAATCTTTATCACTATCTCATAATTTATTTATTTTTTCTTTTATTTCGTTCCCATTCTGGTAGGCCGTTTGTGCTGCATCCTCAGGTCCCTCCACGGTGCTGTAAACAAACTTGAAAGTCTCCCTCCGTCGGTGCGCAGGAACTGTCTTTCTGGTTAACCTTATACACAGTTTACTTCAGAGTCTCCAAATGTCGACTGGAATAATTTCGTCCACGCGATCTCCGCCTGACCACACTGTGACCCATAAAGGTGAGTTTGTTTTCTTCATATCGGGTTGCTTCAAAGGTTACCGCAGGTTGCTTCAAAGGTTACCGTCAAATGGGGTATCTTTAGCTGAGTTTCTCCTCTAAATATTGCATTTCCAAACATGAAAAGCTGAACATTCTATCCTCTTGTACATTTTTTTTGCACTTGGACCCTAATCTGTAACCTAGTACAACAAATTAACATGTAGTTCGTTTCTTTGAATAGGATTGGGAGCCTCCTGTCAAGCTGGCAAAATTTCCCCGTATATTTGAGACAACTCTGGCTGGATATCGGAAATTGAATGAAATTCATATTACTCACAAAATTTGATCAATAATGATATTTAAAACCTTTGAAGAACGGAAATAGTCTTTTAGGAAGTGACTTTGATAGAGAGTCAATCTTATCATAGAGGTGTCAGTAATACCCCGCCTTATAATGCAGTTCGGTGTAATTAGACTTCTGCCAAAGTTATCAAGGGTGTTACTCAACTTTACGGTAGCCGTTTTGGAATCAAAAGTCATAGTCTGCGGCTACGGATTGCCATTGCAGTGTTTCCAATACAACAATAACCGTAGCCGTTATCGTCCGATTCGTAAACGGTCTAGAAACAGTCTATCCGTAATAAATCTGGATCTTCATTCGAACTGACGCATACTTTTTCGCCTGTGCAATCTCCGTCCTTTCTTGCCCATTATTTTGTTCATTATTTCTACCAAGCTTGTACCGCTATATTTTAAACATGGAGCTATAAAACATTAGAAACATGTATAGCTCCATGTTTGAAACGAGTTGTAAAATTTCAAATATTTTTTTTTTCAAGGTGGTCGAATTTTTGAGCGGTGTTTTCTCAAAGGCTTTAATGTTTCCGCATGCAGTCTATACGGTTACTATTATGTTATATTTGTCAGTTGGCTTTTAAAAAAAAATTCAATTATTTTGGACTTATTTTATGATTTCCTTTCTAAATTTTACCACCTGCTCCTGTCAAAATGGTTTATCATTGAAAATCTCAATTGGGGAATTTTGCAGAAAGAAACTCGTGAGGTCTCGCTTCTAAATGAAATGAAAGTACCACTGCAAAATCACCCCTTTAATTAAAAGGTGTCAGTAGTAGACAAAAAGTGACACCATTGTGGCTCATCTGTCACCCTAAAGTGTTAATTAACGGATCAGTTACACGTAATTATTACGGTTCGAGAACTGTGTGGTTAACACCGGTAATTGGAACATTAGCCATGATTCCGTGAACACAATAGACGCCGTGATTTGTTCCATTAGTGAACGCATTGCACACGAAGCGCTGCCAACGCTTCGCGCTAATTAATTCTCATTAGATTAGCCATTGTTCGAAGCGTGAAATGTCACAAAGGGAGGTAATGGAACAGCCGTCTGGCGTAATTTGACTTTTTTTTCTCGCTTTGATTCACGTCTTTAGCAAAAAGAGGGAATTTCCCCAAACTTTAGCTTATTCTTGTAGATTTTTTTGTTATCTTTTCCATCTTTTGTAGAAGATACTTGTTCCTTTTGTCATCTTAACCCTCCTGCTATCTAAACAGTCACAGACAGTAAAAAAAAAAAAACAATCAATCATCCTCCATGCCATGCCTTTTACACAGGTTAGTCACCAACAGTAAGTAAGCACTGTGATTAGTCAAATTCAGTCAACTTACAAAAGCAGACAAGTGGTAGGCTTAGCTGGCTTATCAATCAACTGCAGTCAAAGCACAGCTGTATCAAGTAACAAACAGTCACAGCCAGTCAATCCAACTGTTGAAAACAGTCACTCTGATTGATTTTGACTGAAAGGACAACTTGACAAATTGAATAATGACCCCAGCTGCTGCAGCGATTGTCAGTCAAAGTAATAACTTGACTTGAAGAACACATTTTATTTCTTGCCATTCCCGTTAATAAATCAAATCATAACTAAGTTCCCTCGGACCTAAGGAGCAGCCAAAAAAAAAAACCCCAAAACCACCAACCCCCCCCCCCAAAAAAAACCCCTTCTGGCTATTACATCCATGGATTATTAAAGGTAATTACGGAGCTCCAGAGGTGCCATCATAGATGTTGAGATCCTGACATAATCAACCACGGGATGACAACATCTTACACGCAAAATGTTGACATCCTGAGATAATTTATCACCGGATGACGACATGTCTTAAGAGAGATGCCAACATCCTCAGACAGATCTATCACACAAAGTAGGATACCGTCATCGTAAGACAATGCATCACTGGATGACGACATCCTAAAAGTAGGATGTCGACACAATTTATAGACGTCGGGGAATTGTTAGGTCAAGGAACAGACGAACTGGTTTGCACCCATTCATGGATGTATAACTGTTTGCAACGAAAATGTGGACTCACAAAATTAGGGGCAGTATTTGAAAAAAAGTCAGTTTTTTTCCAACGACCGTTGGAAATGGATACATCAATTCTCCCTTTTTGTTAAAAGTGACTGCACACCAGGTGGCATGATTTCACAGGATACTTGACACTATTATTCACTTACAGTCAAGTAAGGTAATTCATAATAATTTGGTACTTATGTTTCTTGATGTTTGCAAATGTTGTATATTACCTTCAAGCACAAGCTATACCATTTATTGTAATCTTCGCCGTATTTTCTTTCCCCGCGCGCGCTAGAAATTACTCCAGCGTAAAGCGGAAAGCATACCATTTATCTGATTCGCCCGTGTTGAATCCTTATCATTTGTATCTGTTGCAGCGCTATCTTTTCTTCCTCTATAATCATCGATAACTTGTGGTAATATTCTCCCTCTTCGCTTGCTTCTTAACACCTTACGCCAAACATACCCCGTAGAGGAAAAAAACTCCCTCTCGGAAAAACCGCAAGAAATTAACGCTCACAATCATCGCGATATTATAATTTTAATTCTCCGCGCTTCGGGGGCTGCTGGTTTATTACGGGAGAAGGTTAAAGGGGCGTGATCACTTGCAGAAAAAGAACGGGGGAAAGGGAAATATCAGCGTTATGACAGACAAGCAGGTAAGGCGTGAAGTGTATTTAAAAATGTAGGGAGTAATGTCAAGGGACGTTCTTGGTAGAAAAGTATGGCTGTGATATTGAGCAAAGATAATAGACTACACATACTATTGTCTAGCATAGACAGGAGAACTTAGTTGGTAAGATGGCCGCTACTTATGTAAATGCACACCTGATGATCTCGGTTATAAACGTATTCCTGAAAGAAACCACGATCGTTAACGTGGATGACAACGCTGTGCATTGTGTCATAAAGTTTCGTGAAAGCAAATAAAACAATTGTATCGTTATCGTGGAGACAATCACGAAACACTCTAAGTCGGTCAGATTGACCCATAATCTGGATCTTATTGGCGTAGTACTTTCAGGGTAAAATTTATACTTTCCGTGTCAAAATGACACTTCTTTTGATCAATTGGGTCATTTTGACTAGGAAACCTTGGCAAAAGTGAAATAGTTTTTGACCCGAGAAAAGTGTCATTTGCTTACTCTGAAAAGTATTAGGCCTAGATAGAGCACGGATTCGGGGACAATACTATTCATGGTAAAAATGATACTTTTCTGGGTCAAAATTACACTTCTCTGGATAATTTTCCGGCTAATTTTGACTCGGAAACCTAATTCAAAATTGTCATTTTTGTGACCCTGAAAAGTATCACACCTAATACAACCCGGGACTTTTTTTATAAAGTATAAAAAATATCGCAAATCCCAACGGTTTTGTATTAAATCAAAACGTGACGATATTCATGAAACGTCGATCTGATTACGAATGTAACAATTTAGATTAAAAATTCATTTGATAAGACTCGGGAAAGAAATTCCTTGAAGTGGTTCATCGTACGTGAAACTTGCTCTGAGTTTAGATCCCTGAACATGACGATACCGCCCCTTTAAGCAGTTGTTAGATTCGTGTTGATCCTATACAAAGGCTATGGCAGTTGGCAAATTCACGTTTACCAGGGAGGCTTTAATGCCCAAGTTCCGGATTGTTTAAGGGCATAATTAAAGGCTAACCTTCGCCAAATATTGCCCTTTTGCCGCTTTAACTGCCCTCAGACATTGTGTCGTAAGCGATTAGGAATGATTATAGACACGAAATGTGTTCTTCAATACTCGATATTTGGGTCATTAATTTGGGGTCAATTTTGTGTATCCCCGTTACATCTGACATGTATAAGATGTTGCATTTCAGGACATATTCATTAATGCCTTCCTTCTCCAAGAGTGATTAAGCAAAGCAAATTATCTGCCAAACAAACACTAAAAAAAAATAGTGTGAAGTCAATTTTAATGATACTTGCATGGCAAATTGCACAGGTCAAGTGTAGCAGGGACACACACACAATGTTACACTTTTGAACCGCAAATTATGGAATGATCCATTTACAAGTTAAATACGCCAAATTACAACTGATCTCTTAAAATGTAGCAATATCGACGTTATGTGAGAGGTTGTCTTAGAATCGTTGGTTGATGTAGGCGAATGACATTATTATTTTGAAATGGTAGACTTCTTAATAGAAATTGAAATAATTTAAATGGTTTGATGATTATTATCAACGTGGTCACGAATTGTTTCACAGCATAACCTAAAACTGAAAAGGGGCTTTTTTTTCGAATTTAACTTTAAACATTTGTTGTACATTTTCTACTTGACTACCTAATACAATTGCGAAATTTCACTTGTGTCGTTTGACTACAATTTGGAAGTCAAGGTAGAATTGTTAATTTGAATCTCTTCTGTAATGCTTGCCAAAAACTGTGTTTATTATATGCACGGCTATTTTGCAGAAACTAATTTTCAATAGTTTGGGGGAATAAAGTACCTGCGGTGGTGACAAAGCACCTGTGGTAGTTACTAAAATACCGTAGTTCTTTCAGACAGTAAAACACTTTTGACAACAGACATATTTTCTATCCAGGCAAAACACACACCCGCTGTCAAGATACATACGAGACAACATCTCCCCATAATAATCCAT